AGCCTTTACTGAACTGGTTCCATTCTTCACCCCTCTGCTTTTCCTAGTACCACCATCCCCGGTCTCCTCTGTGTATTGTAATTGTGTTTTATCTTGTGTATTCTTTTTTATTTATTGTTGTTGTTGTTCTGTAAAGCGCTTTGAGAAGCCACCTTTAAAGGCGCTGTAACATAAAGTTTATTATTGTTATTATTATTATTATTACATGTTTGAGGTTTTATTTTTTTTTTTTTTGTTTTTATTTTTAAAAAAAACATTTAAGTATCAGCGATAAGCACACCTTCGGATTACTCTTGTGTTGGAGAGGAAAGGTAGTAATATCGAAACCAAGAAATGAATTAGACGAGTATCACGATAACCAAGGCTTCTCGAAGAGTGTGGGTTGGGGCGAACAGTTGAAAAAAGCATGCCGAAGACACAGAATCGAGGCGTTTCTTACTGGGGCAAAAACCAAATGCATTTTAACCAGATTCACGAGGATAATTGGTCATCTAGGATGCACTGTAATTGTACAAGTAATCACTAAACCGAGCAACATTAGCGGAAATTAAACACTCACATTTCATCATGTGTGCATAATGCAAGTTGAGCGTTTATAGACGGGAATAGATAAGACTTCGCAGGAAGGCGGATGTTTAACTGTGGCTACACAAAATACGGCAAATTTGATTAATTTTCCGTTCTGTAACCTTCGCTGAGGGTGTAAACAGATCCCTGACTCGAGTCAAACCGCAGTTCCTCCCCCAGCCCTCCATAGACCAAGCAAATAAACGCACAAGTTCAGTCCAGGTGTTGTACCGAACACACTAACTACGGCTGGTCGTTGAATCAATTCACTGATTGCCGCGTATGTGTCTGATCTTGGGGACCCACGGGGATCTCGAGAATATGCTAAAAGATTTTTATTTTTCACTGTAGTCCATTCTTTTACCAGACAAAGTTAAAACCTTTCATCCCTGTGTTACTGGAAGATGGCCTCCAGGCTGACGGCTCACAGAAACATCGTCTCGAACCCGGCGATACATCAGACACAGAGTTTTTTTTTTTAAATTAAATACCCATTTAAAAAAAGTTGTAAAACGAGGAATCCTACAGAACGGAGAGCGGCAAGTTAACAGTTAAAAAAAAAGCCCCCTTTCGAAAATACCCAGGGCGTGGTGACGTTTGTCCCGCGACATGGTCTCTCACGCGGCTTAGCTATGGTATTGGTTCCAGAACAGTAAATGGTCACTTCTTTCTTTATTTACTAGGCAGGACACTCCGGTCCAACCCATCTAACACTTCGAAAACAGACAGATAAACAAGC